AAGTCCATACTTAATTCAGATTTCCTTAATTTTACCTAATGTCATTTTTGTTTGTTTGTTTTAGGATGTCATCTAGGATATCTAGGATACCACATTACACGTAGCTCTCTTTTCACTAGTTTGACACTGTGTGTGTGTATGTGAGAGAGAGAGACAGAGAGAATATAAACATCTCTCTTTCTTTCAGCCAATTAAGGGCAAACTCCTACAAATTATTGTTCTCATATTCTCTAATGTAAAAGAAAAGGGTATATGTTAATAAAGTAAATCAAAGTTTTAATTACGAGAAAAACACTGTGGGTAAGAGGAAGGTTAAGTTTAAAAAATTTGACATTTGGAAGGACCTAGAAACACAGTCTCTGATTTGTGGATTAATTAAATTTAACAAGCAAAGAGTGGGGCAGAGTCATGTGAGAAGGCAGTACTCATAGAACTATAGCAATGCAGAAGAAGAAAGTAATATTGTACAATTTGTCATCATTTATGTTAGGGGAGTTGTCATTTTTAAAATCTATAGAAATGCAGTTAGTATTTCCTTGCTAATATTTGTACAAAACATTTTCCAAACAAGACTGATTCATCTTACTCTGAAATGAATTGTTAGATCACAACAGAATGTTAAAGAGTTTGCATCCCTTATAGACATGCCAAACGTTAGACTATGCCTGATGCAGTACTATAAATATGAAAATTAAAATGTTAAAAATGTCCTCCAAGTTGCCAAACATAGTATTTAGCATCTACTTCCTAGTCCAAATGATTCAGTCTTCCCAAGTTTGAAAGTGAAAGCTACAATTCACAAAGCAATGCTGTAGTGTACACCAACTGATTAAATGGAAAAGATATTTCATTTATGTATATTTCTTTGTCCTGAGATCATATCCACTGAAATGTCTCCTTAGACTTTCATTGAAGTTTTATGAAAGATGGGCTGGATTGAATGGAATGATCCCAAAGGTAGCTTATTGATTTTTTCCTTGATACGCGACTGCCTGCTACGACATTAGGTTCTCTTGACTCTCCTTTTCTTAAGACAGCACTACTCAAGGGATGTTGGTAGACATTTTTCCTTACCTATCAAGGAACCTACATTCTACATGTAGTTTTGGAGAGTCGCAAGAAAATTCTGAGAAAACTGCAATAAGCAAATCAATTTAGTTTTGTTTAACCCATGTCTCCCTAACGTACCTGACCATAAGTAAAACCTTTTTCCTCTTTTAGGGGCATGGTGGAGGGGAGCTGTACCCATGAACACCCCCTGAGCACACTGTGGGAAGTGCTGGGTTAAGACAAGGCCTCCAGAAGGCAGCTGCCTCCATCCCATGACAGGCGGGAGGGAAGGATGGTCAAACATCCATCTCACTGTCACATCAGCCTGAAGAGTGGCCTCTGCCAATGTTGGCAAGTCAGGCAACACAACTGTCCTCAGGACCATCATAGGTCAAGAGGTTCAGGGCCCACCCAGTGAAAAAGGTATCGAAGAAAGGGCCAGCAATCAATCACCCTTGGCCTTTCTGCAGTCTTACTGGGGTGACCTGACACAGGCATGCCACCCAGCACAGCTGACCCTACAGCCAGGGGGTGCCATGCCTGGGATCCTGTGTTCACCACGCAGCAGTAACCTGCACTTGCTCTGAGTTCTAACAGGGCGGAAATTACAAAATCTGCTTCTGTTGACAAACTGACAATATAACATGGCATGTATACCTGTGTGGGGATGGCAGGGTGTTTCTAGACCCTAAAGGGAGGTTGCAGTCAGGCAAGCTCTGGTGTGATGCAGGAGATCCCTGGCGTTGGGCACAGGAAGCTTTAGCCCTTGACTCTGATGCAGAAGTTCCTGTGCCAATGCTGTCTGCCTTAACCACCTGTGGGACCTTGCACACCTTACCCTCTCTGAGCTCACTCCCTCTTCAGAAAAAAAAAATAATAGTAGTAGTAGGGTAAATGATTTAATATTTGCAAAGTGCTCAGGCCAGTGTTTGCCTCAAAGTAAGTACAATATAAGTGTCTGTTAAATGAAACTGTGCTGTTACTGTTTACTCCAGTTTCCCTCTATTGCTACACGTTTCCTTAAAGATGATGTGACACCAGGGAGACAGACCCTCTCACTCCCCACTTTCAGATGCCAGGCCTGACGCAGTTAGAAGGATACAAATGCCCAGACCGGGCACTCTGCTTTTAGAGGCAGGTGTGTGGTGACTCAGGGGGAGCCTAGGAGCTCCGTACTGCTTCCTGGAGGGCTATGGTCACATGCTATGGGGATCCAGCTTGTCACTCACACATGCTAACTATCAGGCCTCATGGACAGTGGTTACTATGGGTTCCAGAATAACAGGAACGAGAAGACAGGACAGGGGCAGGGCTGCCGGAGTCACAGATGGGCCAGCCACCACTCTGCACACTGTCTCCAGGGCTTCCAAGGAGCCCCTGGCAGGAGAGGCAAACATTGACCCCATCTCCACGTTACCTGTCTCCTAGCTCTTAACTTGGTTGTTAAATGTAATCAAATAAAAGCCATTTTAAAGTCAGACAAAATAAATGTACCAAATAGATTGAAAATAAAGAGAAAGAGTTCTGTAATACCTTGGAAATTTTTTTTTTGTGTTTGTGTTTACTTGAAAATATCATCCTATAAATATATTTTATACATTTTTTAAAAGGTTACACAAATACATCTTTAAAAATGTTGTCAAATACATTAGAAAAGACTGAGAAATTGAAAAACAAGGCAGCAGATATGTACATGGATGTCACCGAGATGCACTAAAAGACCTGCTTTAGGCACAGAAGACTCATCTTCCCACAGGGTGCACACAAAGCTGAGAAGGGTGTGCAATATTCGATGACCTACTGTACACTGACACCATAACTGTCATTTTATAAATGTCATACTCTATGTGAATAATTCTTGTAAAAATAGGCAGGGAGTTCTTACAAATACAGGCCAGAATTGAGGAAAATGATAAATCTCTCAGCATAAGGACGAGAGGCCCTTGAACTTGGCTGGTAATGGCCACAGCGCACCTGCTCTGGGGCAGTCCTGGCCTTCAGCTCACATGCCCTGTCTGTGAACACAGCAGCCTGCAGCCTGGCAACAGCTTCTTCTGCTCCACTAAGGAACATACATGCATGCACAAGTGCACACATGCACAGGAAGTCCCCAGAGACCTGTGGCCATCAGGGACCATGGCACCTTGCGGTTCCTGTGCTGGGGACGGCAGGCAGCGGGGTAAAGGCAGAACCCTACGCAGCAGAAACATGGGCTTCAGCCTTGGTTTCCACTGCTGCTGGTGAAGTTTCCAAGGCTGGTTTGCACAGGGCTTTGAACCTTTGCTAATATACTTGCTGCCTTTCAAGTGCTAAGCACCTTGGGCATGGCACCTCCCACACTATCCCTAGCAGTGCAGGTCTCACCTGAAGGTACCTCCTGTCATGTGTCTTTTTCTTCTGTCACAGGCAGCCCACACTTGCCTCTGTGAATCACCAAATGACAGGCGTTGGGCAGTTTTCATTTATACCAAAACGAATGTGATGGCACAGGTAGCAATCACAAAGCCAATCTAGTGAGTTTATAAAGTATTTCTACACAGTCATGATTCTAATTTTGTAACTGCAGGATTAAGATAGGCACACTGTTACCTTAAAGACTTTTTTCATGTTAGACATGCATAATACAATGTGAAGAAAACTGTCACTTAAAGGACAACTATTTCCCCCAAATTAGAACTTGCATCTACAGTAATGAGAGCCTGTTAAAATATCTCTTTGAAAAACCCTCTCAGCTGATGCAGAGCTGAGTATTTTGAGGCTCCTTGCTGCTCTGCTCTTTCCGCTTGTGCTGTGCATAGCACAGATCTGCCAGCAGTTACAGTGAACAACACCTTTTCTGTCAGAACAGAGAACGACCACATCACGAACCCCCTCAAGTGTCCAGCCTCCATCCCCACCACCCCCTGAGAAAAGGATGGCCAGGCTGAGGAGGAATCCCTTTCCCCGCAATCTGAGATGGCCTTCCAGCAAGTTGGAGACCCAGGCATGGCAACTGTATGTTAACTGCTAAACAGAGAAAGTTAACCAGTTTACTTTCTTTTAAATTGGAGCATATATTTTTGCATTTCTTTGTGTGCATGGATAGCTTTATCAGGGAGGAAGAAGGCGTTTCATTAGGCATAATTCAGGGCTGAGCAAAAACTGCTTTTAGCTACAGACTGAGCAACCCCAGGGGAACTTCACAGAAATGACACAGCAATTTGTGTTAGAATATTGGCAGCTAATTCATGAATGCTGGAGCTAACTCTGAATTCAGCTGCTTCTGTTCAGCTTTTATTCCCGCTGAGCTCATGATTCATAAAGAAAGCGCCTGGAGTTACTCTTCAGAAACATACAGTATGATGCTAACAGACTTCTCTTTGGTGTGTCTGCCTGTCTGTCTGTCTGTCTTTCTCACACCCACACACGCCCTCCTTTTTCCTCCAAAAAGGGAATTAAAATATGATCTTCAAAACATAAACTTCACGGAACATTTGTTACTAACCAATGAAAAGTATTTTCACTAAAGAACACTGATGTTTTTCAAGTCTTTCATATTTGCAAGTCTTAGCTGGTGTAAAATATTATAATTCGAGTTTTTTCCCCCTTGTGACATGACTAGAGCATGTATTTTATCTTACCCTCTAAAGGGACTCACTCAGCTCTTTCCTCATAAAAGAAGAAATGCTATTTTAATAATCAAACCGCATTGGCTTTTGTTTTTATAAATATTTGGGACAGCTCCCCCTCTCCCCTTTCCCCCTGCACATTTTCAGCCCAGCTCAGTGAACATCCAGATTCAGATGGCATTCTCCTGGCAACAGCGCAGGGCACCTGACAGCCCTGCTTTCTTCGCTCTCCCCCACCACTCTGCTTCCTGTTAGACTGAACAGTGGAGTCTTTGTGCATTCCCACTGCAACTGGCCAGCTCTAATGAGGTGTCCCCTTATTGGTACAAGGGTAATATTTACCTTGGAGAAAACTTTGTCCAAATAACTATTCACAATTCTGGCAATGTCATCCCTCTGAAATGTGGTGGTAAGAGTTCTCTCTTCCTTCTTGGCCTACAACCAAAAAGAAAGAGAGTTAGAAAAAAAGGCAGATGGATAAAGACTGTGACAGACACTTGTCCAGTTTACTGTAAAACTGCTAGCAAATTTAGGCCAAAATGCTGAGCTGTATATTCCTTCCTGCAAAGTAGGAGTAAACCGAGTCGTGCATAAATCAAGTTTTTTCCAAAATAACAGCCAACTCAGTCTCATCAAATACACATTAATTACTTGTTCATTCTATGTTTCCTAGTTTTATGGCAAAGATATCTATGTTGCTGTAATAATAGCAAAATTCAAATAACTGTTATCTGGGTATGAGGCAAAACTAGTGATTTATTTGAATAGAGAGTATGCTTTATGCTTTTTGGTAAGGCAAACTGTGATTTCATTTTGAAATGTCTTATTAAAAGAAGAGTCTTGGGTACAGCATGAGCCATGTGACCTGAAGGACATGCAGATCTCTTAGTCCTGAGTCGCTCCTTCATCCATTCCACTGAGGAAATGGGAGAAATGTGATGAATGGGGGAGACTCAGGATGTCTTCCCTTTATCGCCCTCCTAACCCGTTGGTGCCCTGTGGTCCCATCCTGCCACCTGTGACTCTGCTCTGTTCTCAGTGCCCAGCCAGTCCTCCACCCCCTTTCCTCTCCAGTTCTTGTCCTGTCCTCTAATAAATATGTCTTGCGTTGAACCACCATGTAAAACACCATGATAGGTGCCATGTGAAAGAGAGAAGAGGAGGGGGTGGAATGAATGAATGTGTTTATATTCTAAGGAGAACTTCCTCACTGTTGACTGAGATCCAGAACTTTTCAATTATTTTAAGAGACTGAGATACAGATCCTGATTTGCAATACAAAACACTGAGCAGATCATGAGTCATCTAGATGTGCATCCCTGATGTTCTTTGACTAGGACCACATATGATCGTCTCAGATTGAGTGCTGCCTTCTTCCGGAGTCAGCAGATTATTTGCATTATCCTGAGATACATCTGCTGTTTCCCTGACAGTTACCAAGTGAGAAATGACTGCTTTTGTTGGCCGATGCATTCAGCTGCATTATTTTCTTTTTGTTTTCAATAAATCTAAAAATATCAGAAAAAGACACAACTCTGGGTCTTTTTACTATCAGTTATGCAAACTAAGAGAGCAGGATCCTTACTGGGCAAAGAGCTTGACAGGCACAAGCCATCTTTCACTCTTTCATTAGATTTCAAGTCAACCCTCTCCTCCACCCCTGACATACAGAGATATTCACAGGTGGATTCCAGCGACAAACCTCTCTACTTCCTCACGTCATCATGTTCAATCCCAGAGGTGCTCCTGAATTCATTAGATATATGAGCAAGACTTTATTACCTAAATCAAACTGCTGCAGTAGAAAAATAAAATAAACTTAAAAAAATGCCAAGTCTTATTAATATGCATTAGAAATAATATGTTTGCTATTACTAGATAGGAGTAAAGACTCTGACTTAAGATATTGAACACATGATATGATAGTTAATTTAATAAACCTAAAGGTGGTACATAGTTTTGCATTTTCAAAATTGCATATCATTAATTAAAAATATTCCAAGGAAATAAGGTAATGAAGACATTGCAGTCCTAGCATGATAGATATATAAATCAATGGAGTGGAATTTAGCCCCAAGATTAAGCCCATACAACTATGGCCAATTTATTTTTGACAAAGATGCCAAGACTATTCAATGGGGAAATAAAGCCTTTTCAACAGAAGGTTCCGGAACAAGGTTCTTCTGCTACATGCAAAAGAATGAATCTGGATCTTAATTTCATTTTTAAAAGTTATGTAAAAATTTAATAAATTTGAAAACATTTATTCGTAAAGGTATATACACCCCCATGTTCATTGCAGCATTATTTCATGGTGCCCAAGACATGAAAAAAACTGAAGCATCCCTCAATAGATGATTGGAGAAAGAAGCTATGGTACATATATACAATAGAATACTACTTGGCGATAAGAAAAAATAAAATACTGCCATATGCGACAACATGGACAAATCTTGAGAAAATCGTGTTAAGAAAAACAAGTCAATGGAAAAGTCAAGAATATATGATATTACTCATATGTGGGATATAGAACTGAAAGTAGCAAGTGAACAAATAATAAAAACAAACAAACAAAAACTCATAGACACAGACAACAGCACGGTTGTTACCAGAGGGAAGGGAGGTGGGAGGGTAGTAAAGGGTAAAGGGGGACAGAAGATTTGACTTTGGGTGGTGGGGACACAATGCAATATACAGATAACGTATCATAGAAATGAACACTCGAAACCTATATGATTTTATTAACCGTCATTCCAATAAATTTAATTTTAAAAAGGTAGTATAAAGACCATATAAAATAGAGACCACATATGATAGAGACCACATTAAAATGTTACTCAAAATGGAGCAAATAAATTGAAGAGCTGAAACTAAAAAACTCTTAGAAGAAAACATAAGGGTAAATTTCATGAGTTAAGATTTGGAATTTTAAATATGACATTGAAAGCACAAGCAACCAAAGAAAAAACTGATATGCTGGACTTCATCAAAATTGAAAAGATGTGTACTTTAAAGGACACTATTAAGAATGCGAGAAGACAACCTAAATAATGTGAAAAATATGAGCAAATCATGCCTGATAAAGGCCTTTTATCTACAATATATAAAGAACTCTTAATAATAAGACAATCCAACCAAAAATAGGCATGGGATCTGAATATACATTTCTCCAAATATACTGGCTAATAAGCACATGAAAAGATGCTCAACACCATTATTTACCATGGAAATGCAGATCAAAATCACAATGAAATCCACTTCATACCTCCAGGATGGCTATAATCAAAAAGTTTAAGATAGTAACAAGTGTTGGCAAGGATGTGGAGAAATAGAACACTCATACCCTGCTGATGGGAATGTGAAATAATACAGTCACTTCAAGAACAGCCTGGTTGTTCCTCAAACAGTTCAATGCAGGAGTTACCACTGGACCCAGTATTTCCTCCCCTAGGTATATACCAAAAGAAATAAAAACATGTCCACACAAAAACTTGTACATGGATTTCATAGCAGCATTATTCCTAACAGCTCTTAAGTGGAAATAATACAAATGTCCATCAGCCGGTGAATGAAAAAACAAAATGTGGTATATCCATATAAAAGAATATCATTTGGCCGCAAAATAGAATGAGGAATTCATGTATGTCATAAAATGAATGAACCGGGAAAATATGCTGAGTGGAAGAAGTTAATCACAATGCCCCCTCTCACACACACATTATATGATTAAGTTTATTTGAAATGTCCAAAATGGGCAAATATATAGAGACAGAAAGTAGATTAGTGTTTGCTTAGGGCTGGGGAAGATGAAGATGATAGCAAAAGGGTGCGGGGTGTCTTTCTAACCTAAGGAACAGGTTCTAAAATTGACAGTAGTGATGGTTGCATTAACTCTGTGAATATACTAAAAAACATTAAATTGTACAATTTTCTTATATATATATTTTATTGATTATGCTATTACAGTTGTCTCATTTTTTTGTCCCCTTTATTCCCCTCCACGTTGCACCCTCCACCAACATCCCCCCCACTTTAGTTCATGTCCATGGGTCATACATATAAGTTCTTTGACTTCTCCATTACCTATATTATTCTTAACCTCCCCCTGTTTATTTTGTACCTATTATTTATGCTTCTTATTCCCTATACCTTTTTCCCCATTGTACCCCTCCCCCATCTCCATTTCTGTAATTTTGTTCCTGTTCTAGTTATTTGCATAGTTTGTTTTTATTTTTGTTTTTTGTTTTTTTAGGTTCAGTTGTTGGTAGTTGTGAGTTTGTTGTCATTTTGCTGTTCATAGTTTTTGATCTTCTTTTTCTTAAAGTCCCTTTAATGTTTCATATAATAAGGACTTGGTGATGATGAACACCTTTAACTTAACCTTATCTAGGAAGAACTTTATCTGCCCTTCCATTTTAAATGATGGCTTTGCTGGATAGAATAATCTTAGATGTAGGTCCTTGCCTTTCATGACTTTGAATACTTCTTTCCAGCTCTTTCTTGCCTGCAAGGTTTCTTTAGAGAAATCAGCTGATAGTCTTATGGGAACTCCTTTGTAGGTAATTGTCTCCTTTTCTCTTGCTGCTTTTAAGATTCTCTGCTTATCTTTAATCTTGGGTAATTTAATTATGATGTACCTTGGTGTGTGCCTCCTCGGGTTCAACTTCTTTGGGACTCTCTGAGCTTCCTGGATGTCCCAGAAATCTATTTCCTTGGCCAGATTGGGGAAGTTCTTCATTATTTTTTAAAATACATTTTCAATTCTTGGTTTTCCTCTTCTCCTTCTGGCACCCCTATGATTCAGATGCTGGATCGTTTAAAGTTGTCCCAAAGGTTCCTAAACCTCTCCTCATTTTTTTGAATTCTTGTTTCTTCATTCTGTTCTGGGTGAATGTTTACCTTTTTCTTCTGCTCCTAATCATAGATTTAAGTCCCAGTTTCCTTCCTCTCACTGTTGGTTCTCTGTGTATTTTTCTTTATTTCATTTTGCATAGTCTTTACTTTTTCCTCCACTTTGCGACCATACTCAACCATTTCTGTGAGCATCCTGATTACCAGTGTTTTGAACTATGCACCTGATAGGCTGGCTATCTCTTCATCACTTAGTTTTTTTTGGAGCTTTGATCTGTTCTTTCCTTTGGGCAATATTTCTTTGTCTCAGCGTATGTGTTATGTTGAAAGGGGCAGAGCCCTAGGTATTCACCAGGGCAGGGCAACCCAGGTCACTGCATTGTGGCACTGTATGTGTCGGAGGGGTCGGAGAGGGAACAAGGTCACTTACTTGGTTCTCCACTGGCTTTCAGTCACTTCCCCTGCTGCCCACAAGCAAATGGGGCCCTTCTAGTACTGATTCCTGGGTGGGTGGGTTTGTGTACATTCTAGGACCCTCTGGGTCCCTCCAACACACTCTTCTTTGAGGCTGGCAGTTTTTCCTGCTGCCACATCCTCCACAGATTTTGACAGTCAGAGGTTTTGAGGCTTTCTTTTCCCGCACTGGTACCCTGGATTGCACAGTCTGTTTTGCTCTCCAGCTGTTCCTCCCAGTTTATCCGCATGCAAATGTGGGAATTCTTGGTTCTGCAGTGCTACCCTGCCTGCTCGATTGTCCAGCCACTGTCTTGCTGAATGTCCTCTCAGCCCAGGCTGTCTATTCCATCCCTCCTACTGGTCTGGATGAATGTTTCTTCTTTAACTCCTTGGCTGTTGGACTTCGATACAGTTTGATTTTCTGGCAGTTCTGGTTATTTTTTGTTTTTAATTTGTTGTTGTCCTTTTGATTATGTGAGGAGGCAAAGTGTATCTACCTATGCCTCCATCTTGGCCGGAAGTCCAAATTGTACAATTTAAATGGGTGAATTATATGGTATGTGAGTTATAGCTCAATAAAGTTATCAGACAAATATTCCATGGCATGTGAAAATTTTAGTGCCAGTCATTTTGCACATCACTCTTGAAGACAGATACCAAATGCAAGTGTAATTTTAGCTGGAATCACTGGGTTCATTGCACAGACTCATGATCTCCTGCCTCCATCACAAACTGTCATGTTCTGACAGAGACGACTTGCATATAATTCTGCATGGATCAGGTACTCCTTCAGATCCCCTTTCATCTATGACCATCTATCTTTAAGTGTGGACAGCAGCTAGTCACTACAAATGAGTATTGATCCAATTAAAGAGAAATCCCATGCTTTCAATGTTGAAGTCTTTCTCTACTGAATGGAATGTTAGGACTTCTGACACCAGATATCTACTCAAATGTGGCTATCTCCCACTGCATAAATGAAGCCAGTGGGATGCCAAGCTCAGTGCTTTTTTTTAAATACCTATTTTTCTGACTGTCAGTTTTCATGAAGACTGTTTGTCAGGAGGCTCAAACAAGTGAACTCTGATAATTCATGACGCTGTTTTTTCCAACTAATCTGAAGGCTTGCTCTAGCCAAAGCCACTCAGAAGAACTGAAATAGAGTTCAATTTCTTGGTCACTGTGCCTCTGAAGGATGGGATTTGTACCTGACAGATGGCCTGGCCCAAGCTCAAGCTGGTGTTGTTGAGGAGTAGCCCCAGAAGAGGAGCGCTGTTTCAAAGTTATGCATTACAGTCCTTTCTGGTGAAGCAGATGTGATGTCCCTGCTGTCTGGGGAGATAAATATAGGGACTTGGTAGCGGAGACTCCAAATTCATGTTTGACTTTTTAAAACCATACTTGGAGGCAAGATATCCACTCAATATAAGATTAAAATCATGAAACTCAATGAACAATTCCCAAATTTCAAAGAAACTTAAAGGTGACCTATAAACCTATCCTACTTGATACTTGAACCCTTTCTACAATGTCTGTTACACCTGGTTTACAAGGGAAATGTCAAAAGGACTTGGTTCAACATATATGAACAATACTGATCACTGAATAAATCACGGTGCCTAATGTATAATAATCACTCAGTATTTATTCACTGATACAGTGAATTAATTTTTAAAAAATCAAAGTAGACTCAAGGATATTGCTATAATGAAGCTGTTTTCACTTGCAGTCCCTGAAGGCACAGAGAAATAGAATTACAGGTTGCTTATGATCAGTATATTACCTCAGCAAAATATCACACATGCAAATGCTGACCAAGTAAACACTTTCTTTTATCTGTGTTGCAATGGAAACAAACTAGTAAACCAAACTAAGAGCCTGAAGTGTTCCCAGGAGGAATTTCTGTTAGATTTGGGCTTGGGTAAGGAAGGTTCTTCTCTGCACCCTAGGGGATTGAGTCCTGGTTCTAACTTCTAGAGCCATGTAGAATAAGTCTGATAGTTTCCTTACATGGCTACCTTTCAAATACTTGAAGATATTTATTTTAAAAAGTCACCCTTCTCTTGTTTTTGACCTTCTCTTTCTTCATTTCAAAGAATACAGTCTTGATTGTCACCTACAATAACTCAAAGGAGCACAAATGCAGTAAGGAGAACTGGGCTGAGCCATGGCCAGGCCCACTCACAAGAGCACAGCAGATGGAGAGTCTGCTCCAGCTACAGAGCCCAACATAGGGATCAAGCACAACACCCATTGGACAAGGTAATCTTTACCTGATATAGGAGATGGTCCTTATCTGAGTTTTGGTGACGGCGGTGGGGAATTTTCCAGGTCCATGTATCGTAGAGAGGCAAAGCTATCAGCGAAAAGCAATAGGCTGGTGAAATCAGGACAGTGGTCCATTACTATCCTAGAGGTTTGGTCACAGCAACAGAATCTGGCCACTTGGCCATGACTCAGGGTAAGAGCCATAATTCTCAAGAAGATCTCCTGGCAAGACTAAGACAGATCATGGTACCAAAGCAGATACCCAGCTCCAGACACACAGGAAAAGGAAGAGCTGAAACTTGGAAGGTCAAGGAGTGAGTACTGTGGGAACCTGGAAGTTAATTCCTAGGATATTAGATTCTGCAACTGTGTGGCAATAAAGGCCATTGGAATGGAATAGTGCCCAGCCCAGTGGTCAGCAAGATGTTACTGTAAGGCACAGAGAGAATATTAGTGGTCTGTCCCAATGGACTAAGGGATGGTCTCAACATCTCAAGTACTTCCTGCTTTAGTGAAAATGAATTCAGACTTGGAGAGGGAAGATGATGTGTATAAGAGGAACATGTGGGGAGGGGACAGGAAAGGCAGGAGGAGAAATGCTGAGGGCTGACACATTCACTTGGTGATGGTTCTCTTCTAATGATTAAGGTCAAAGGCATTTCTCCAGATGAAGCAGCTCTTTTCGCAGCAAACAGCTGATAGGACACTTTCTTCAGTCCAGATACTATGTTTATTTAGAAAGTCTGAGATCATAGAAGCTTTTTCCACCAGCTACATTACGCTATTGCTGTACATGAATCTTATACTTGAGTAGTGAAAATCTAAATTTCTTCCATATATGATGAAGGTCAGCCACTTCTCCCCTCACTGCATTTTTGTGATTTAATTGGTGGTCATGGTGCTTATATCATCTCTGTGCCATTTCTGCCTCTTGGAGTTGAGGCATTGCATTAATTGTAAAGATGTTCTAGAGCTCTGTTTCTCTTACATGTTATTACATCAGCCATCTCTTCCAGTTTTGGGCTGTGATGTATTTTCCCCAAGTGGGGTCTAATGTTGACTAGGACAGGGTTAGGTTCAACTGTGAAAGTCTTCCTCCAGGAAGGAGCAATCAGTTCCCTCTGTATATACTTACCAACCAGTTATTAATCCAGCACATCATACACATCCCCTCTTTGTCCAAATAATAAATGTTAGCAATTTAATACTAAAAATCAAACTTATCTATAAAGTAATGCATGTATTTCTTATTAATCCATCTGAATTCTATGATAGGTTTAATAAATTGTCAATATAATAGAGATCAACCTCAAAACAGAGACATTCCCTTCCATTAAAATTTCAATATTTATCCCTTCAGAGTAATTATGCAAGAAAATGATATTAAATATACTCAGTAGTACTGCAATTATAGCAGCAGGAAGGCAATGGGTATGGGCTATGACATACCTGGCAATATGGAAAAACATTAGTCGACACCTCCCCCCTCCTCCTGCTGATGTTCTTATGTCGCTCAGGCTGCACTTCTCTCACTGATAAGCTCCCTTGTAGGTAGTTTCTGGTGTTTTTCCTGGCTGGTTCTCCCACTTGCTGTCATTCACATGTCTATCCTTCCCAGTATTCCCTGTGTTAACAGTTCTTCCTGCCACTGATGACTCCTGCTTCATTTCTCACACTCCAACAGCTGCAACTTCCAATGTATGCAAAACAACAGTCCAATGAGAAAATAATGTTTTCTGGGTATTCAAAATTTCCTTATTGTGAACAGAAAAGTGGAAGACGCAAGAAAGGATAGCCCTGGGATGCCAAGGAGAGGCCAGTATGAAGCTAAAATGAAGGCAAAATATTTAAGCATCAAAAAAATTATGACACTGGAGAAATAATTCCCCTGAAATTATTTTCAATGGTGCAGCTGAATGAAAAGAATCTCCTTTCCAAGAAGAACATATTTTTCTCAAGACCAAGGAGCAAGAAACACAGGAGCAGGAGCAGCTTCCTCACTGAAGAACTATATTTTTTTTCTGTCTGCCATCAACACATATTGCCATGGTAATCATCCTGCAGTTGAGAAGTAGTAGAGGTAAGAAAATCTATACAAAAGACCACAGTGGGGAAAATAAGAAAAGTGTGCAAAACTAACCTCAGACCTAAGAGAATGAACCTGAGACTGGCTGGCTACTTGTCAGGTGTTGATGTTTGAGTAACACACTTCAGGGGACAGAAGCAAGGTCCTCAAAGAGCCAGACAACTCCCAGTGGTGTCTCAATTTACCTTAGGTGATGACTTATATTCATCCCTCCCATGTGTATAGTTTAGCTTTTTGATGACTTTAGGGGGAGAGTTGCCATTGTGTACTCTTATGTCTGGAAACTTCTAGAAAGTGAAGGTATATTACTGAATGGCTTCCTTACTTTATTTCTACCTCCATCAGGTAGAAAATTTAGTCACAATTTCTCTGATTTCTTCCTTCAGATGCAGAAGCTAGGCTTTGCATCTTTGCATGTTATGAATTAGTGAAATAGTTAATAGCTTCTTCTTCCTGTCAACAAATATAGTAAAAATCTATAGCCCTGGTACTGGAAAGAACTTTGGAGCCTGGCTAGGATCAGAACCCCATTGGTCCTACCTCCATTGCTTACAGCTTACCATATTATACCATGTATTTAGCATCCAAATATATTAGCATCATGAATGACAAGATAATAATGATCATTTCAGAAATCAAATTTTGCATTCTTACATTGTAAGCTATTTGTTGGTGCCTCCGCCTACCAAAGAACACACTCCATCCCCTTATTTACCCAGCATTTCATTGTTATTCAAAGGACCACTCCAGTGCTGACTTCTGAAGCATATATACTAAAATTGGAATGATTCAGAGAAGATTAGCATGGCTCCTGCACAAGGATAACACAAAAATTAGTGAAGTGTTCGATATTTTTAACTACATCAGTATGAAAAACAACATAGAAACTATGAATAAGGACCAGGTGGAAATAAAGAATACAACATCTGAAATGAAGAATACAACAGAAGTAATTAAAAGCCGGCAAATGAAGCAGAGGACTGAATCAGAGAGTTGAAAGACAAGGTAGGAAAAAAAACACCTAGTCAGAACAACAAAATGAAAAAAGACTAAAAAAACAAAGATAGTTTAAGGGAGCTACAGGACAACATGAAATACATGAAATGTAACAATATTTGTATCATAGGGATACCAGAAATAACAGAATAGGAGCAAGGGACAGAAATACCTGTTTGAAAAAATAATGACAGAAAAGTTTCCTAAGTTGGTGAGGGAAGAACCTACCCAAATTCAGGAGCCACATAGAGTCCCAATCAAGACAAATCCAAAGAGGCCTACTCCAAGACACATCACAAATAAAATGGAAAAACTTAAAGACAAAAAGAATCTTAAAGGCAGCAAGGGAGAAATAGCTAGTAACATATAAGGGAGCTCTGATAAGGCTATCAACAGATTTCTGAACAGAAACACTACAAGCCAGAAAGGACAGGCATGAAATATTCCAAGTAATGAAAAGCAAAGACTGGCAATTGAGACTACTCTATCCATCAAGGCATTCACTTAAAATGGAAGGCAAAATAAAGAACTCTCCAGACCAAAAAGAAAAGGCTAAAAGAGTGGACCTCCAACAAATCAGCATCGAAAGAGATGCTAAAGGGACTGCTTTAAGAAGATATACACACACATACATTTTATACATACATATACACACACACACATATACCTAGATGTGTATGTGTGTGTGTATATACATATACATATATACATATATATGTATGTGTGTATGTGTGTGTGTATATATATATATATAGATCTATAGAGCTATATATATATATGAGAGAGAGAGAGGGAGGGGGGAGAGAGAGAGAGGAACATGGGTAAAAAGGAAAAAAAGGCAATGAATAAGTATATATCAATAATAACCTTAAATGTAAATGGATTGAATGCTCCAATCAGAAGACACAGGGTAGCTGAATAGATTAAATACTCCAATCAAAAGACACAGGGAATCTGAATAGATTAGAAAACACAATCTGCGTATATACTGTCTACAAGAGACCCCTCTCAAAACAGAAGATCTATATGGGCTGAAAATGAAAGGATGGAAAAAATATTCCAAGCAGATGGACATAAAAAAAGCTGGGGTAGCAATAGTTATATCAGACAAAATAGACTGCAAAACAAAGGCCATAACAAGAGACAAAGAAAGTCACTACATAATACTTAAGAGAGCAGTCCAACAAGAGGATATAACCCTGGTAAACATATATGCACCCAACATAGGAGCCTTAACATATATAAGGAAAATCTTGGAGGACTTTAAGAAAGAGAGCAACAGTGATCCAGTCATCATAGGGGATTTTAACACCCCACTATCAACAATGGATAGATCTTCCAAACAAAAAATCAATAAGAATACTGTGGCATTGAATGACACTCTAGATCAAATGGCCTTAATTGATATTTACAGAACATTTCACCACAAAGAAGCAAAACATACATTGTTTTCAAATGCACATGGATTATTTTCAATGATAGACTACATGGTAGGACACAAAACAAGCCTTAACAAATTCAAGAAAACTGAAATAACATCAAGCATCATCCTAGATCATAAAGGCTTGAAACTAGAAACCAACCTCAAGGAAAAAAACCCCTCAAAAACATTCAAATACATGGAGACTGAATAATGAATGGGTTAACAATGAGATCAAGAAAGAAATCAAGAAGTGTCTAGAGCAAATGAAAATGAACACACAACAAACCAAAACCTATGGGGCACAGTGAAAGCAGTCCTGAGAGGGAAGCAATACAGCAATACAGGCCTACATAAAGAACATAGAAAAATCTCAAAAACAAAAGAAATCTAACCCTACATCTAAAGTAACCAGAGGAACAACAAATAAACAAAACCCAGAGTGAGTAGAAGGAAATAATATCAGAGCAGAATTAAATGACAATAGAAATAAGTAAGTAAGTAAGTAAATCAATAAATAAGTAAATAAAGCAATCCAAAGGATTAATGAGTCCAGGACCTGATTCTTAAAAAAGATAATCAAAATTGACTAGACTTTAATCAGACTCATCAAGGAAAAAAGAGGACCCATATAAATAAAATTAGAAACAAAAAAGAAGTAACTGATACCACACAAATACAAAGGAGTGTAAGAAATTACAATGAACAAATATATTCCAAGAAATTGGACAACTTGTGTGCAATGAATAAATTTCTAGAAACAGTTTGCCAAAAATGAATGAAGAAGCAGCAGAAAGACTGAACAGACCAATAACCACTAGAGAAATTGAAGCACTAGTCAAAATACTCCTGGCACACAAAAGCCCTGGAATAGATGCCTTCTCAGGCAAATTTTACCAATCATTCAAAGAAAACCTAACACCCACCTTGTCTTACACTTCCACAATATTCAACATGAGGGAATATTTCCAGACTCTCTTCACCAGTCCAGTATTATTCTAATTCCAAAACCAGGTAAAGACACAACAAAGAAGAAAATTACAGGCCAGTATCGCTGATGAACACAGATGCTAAAATCTTGAACAAAGTACTGGCAATCCTGATCCATCAATACATTAAAATAGATCACACACGACGATCAAGTGGGATTTATCCCAGTGATGCAAGGATGGTACAATATTCACAAATTAATAAATATTAATATACCACATAAACAAAATGAAGGTAAAAAATCACATGATCATATCAATAGATACTAACAAAGCATTTGATAAAATCCATTTATGATAAAAATACTCAGCAAAGTGGGTATAGAGATAGAGCATACCTCAACATGATAAAGGCCATATACTAGAAACCTACAACCAACATCATACTGAATGGGCAAAAACTAAAAGCATTTCCCTTAAGATCAGGAACAAGACAAGGGTGGCCATTTTTACGACTCTTATTCAACATAGCACTGGAAGTTCTAGCCACAGAAATTAGACAAGAAAAATAAATAAAAGGCATCCAAATGGAAAAGGAGAAAATAAAACTGTCATTATCTTCAGATAACATGACACAGAAAATCCTATAGTCTACATGAAAACATTACTTGACCTAATAAGTGAATTTGGCAAAGTAGTGGAATACAAAGTCAATTCAGAAACCAATGGAATTTTTGTACACTAACAATGAACTATCAGAAAAAGAAACTAAGGAAAAAAAAACATTTACTATGGCAAAAAGAAAAACAAAGTACCCAGGAATAAATTTAACCAAGGATGTAAAAGACCTGTACTCAGAAAACTACAGAACACTGAAGAAAGAAACTGAGGAAGATACAAATAAATGGAAGCATATACTGTGTTCATAGATTGGAAGAATTAACATCATTAAAATGTCCATGTTACCCAAAGCAATCTATAGATTCAGCACAATTCCTATCAAAATACTAATGGCATATTTCACAGATCTAGAACAAGTATTTCAAAAATAAATGGAACCAAAAATATCTCAAATAGCCTCAGCAATCCTGAGAAAGAAGAAAAAAGTTGGAGAGATCGTAATACCTGATATCAAACTAAACTACAAGATCTCTGTAATCGAAATAGTCTAGTACTGGCATAAGAACAGACACATATATCAGTGGAACAGAACAGAGAGCCCAGAAATAAACCCATGTCTCCACAGTCAATTAATACATGACAAAGGCGTCAGGAGCATAAAAGGGAGTAAAAACAGTCTTTTAAATAAATGGTGTTGGAAGAACTGGACTGGTACATGCAAAAAAATGAAACTAGAAAACTAACTCACAATGTACACCAAAATAAACTCCAAATGGATAAAAGACTTAAATATAAGTCACGACACCATAAAAGTCCTAGCAGAAAACATAGGCAGTAAAATTTCAGATATCCCATGTAGCAATATTTTTGCCAATATATCTCCTAGGGCAAAGAAAATAAAGAAAAAATAAACAAGTGGGACTACATCAAATTAAAAAGCTTTGGCATGGCTAAAGAAACCATCAGCGAAATGAAAAGGGAACCAACTGTATGGGAGAACATATTTGCCAATGATACATCGGACAAAGGTTTTATTTCCAAAATATGTAAAGAACTCATATGACTCAACACCAGGAAGAGAGACGATCTGATTAAAAAATGGGCAAAGGACTTGAATAGATAATTCTGCAAGGAAGACATACAGATGACCCATAGACATATGAAAGGATGCTCAACACCACTAGCCATCACAGAGATGAAAATTAAAACCACAATGACATATCATACCTGTCAGACTGGCTGTCATGAATAAATCAACGAACAAGTGCTGGTGAGGATGTGAAGAAAAGGGAACCCTAATGCACCGTTGGTGAGAATGCAGACTGTTGCAGGCACTGTGGAAAGCAGTATGGAATTTCCTCAAAAAATTAAAAATGGATCTGCCATATGACCCAGTGATTCCACTGCTGGGAATATACCCTAAGAATCCTGAAACACCAATTCAATGCACCTCAATGTTCACAGCAGAATTATTTATAATAGCCAAGTGTTGAAAACAGACTAAGTGCCCATCAGTAGATGAGTGGATTAAAAGATTGTGGTACATTTAGACAATGGAATACTATGCAGCAGGAAAAAAGGAAGGAACTCCTACCTTTTGCTATAGCATGGATTGACCTGGAGACAATTATACTAAGTGAAATAAGCCAGTTGGTGAAAGATAAATACCATATGATCTCACTTATAACTGCAATCTAATGAACAAAATAACTAACAAGCAAAATAAAACCAGAGATATGGAAACATGGAACAGACTGACAACTGTAAGAGGGGAGGTAGGGTCAGGGGAATAGCAGAAGAAAGGGGAAGGGATTAGTCAAGGAACATGTATGAATGACCTGTGTACATAGACAGTGGAGTGGGGATTGACTGAGGGAGTGAAGGGTGGGC